TTTCTCTCTCTATTTAAAAAATAAATAAATAAAAATGCATTGCTAGAGAAACTTCTTAACCTCTTTTAACTTGTTGAAGGTCCTTAGAACCAGCTTATGGCCAATGGCAGGAGTCAGAGAACCACTGCTAGGTTTTTCAAATCCAAAGAAACACTGTGTTTGGAGCTTCTGATGAAGGATTCGAGTTGCCTGGGACTTTAGAGATTGTTATATGAATGAGGAAATGGGGGCCTGGAGAGGGTGGGCTGTCCCAGGTGTGAGAGCTGGTTAGTGGGGAAGCCTTGACGATCACTCACACCCCTTTATTTAGACTTTAGAACTTTTTGCTCTGTCTTAAGATACTTCCCATGTTTATTTTATTTGGTTTCACAGCAAAAGCTAGCCATCTAAAAGCTGCTGTTGGCAATCTCCATCTTTAATAAGAGGCATAGGGTTGCAGGAAAACTGGCACATTTTTGGAGAGCTCCACACCATGAAACTGAGCCATAGAACAAATTAAAAGGCAAATCATTCAGAAAGAATCTGGGTCAGGAACCAAAAACTCAGAGGCCCCCAGGAGGCAGGCAGATCACACAGATGAAGTAATAGCCCATCATTATCACTGCTTGGCCTTTTGGCTAAGATCCAGTGTAATATCCCATGATAGCTGGTTACGAACACAAGCCCTCCAAAAATGTGCCAGATCACAGGGTATGAACTTTTAAAAGTTTTGCTAGATATTCCTGAGTTACTCCTCAAAATGGTCGTATGAGTTTACACTTCCATCCATAGGAGAGTGCTTCTTTCCCGGATATTCTTCAACGAGGCCCGTCTTTTGTCTCCTGACAGCACATTTCTGTTCTACTCCCACCCATATTTTGTCTGGTGGATGTTGGATTCATTTCATTGTACGAGTAGGAGGGCAGTTTCTTACCTCGAGAGTTCTCACCTTGACTTGCCCAGGAGGTGTCACACCTGAATCCATGGGGTGGACAAGTCCTTGTCTGGAACAACCTTGATGTAGTCAGAGTTGCTTTAACTCTTCAGTTCATGCAATAATGTGCTAAGCTCTTTTACCTGGAATAGATTTCTCCATTTTGAGAGCAGTATTATTTGCCTTCCCCACGTATAAAAAATTCTTGTCATCTAGAAGACTGTCAGTGGAAGTATTCTGTTAGCACCAAAGATGGAAAACCTAGCATTCTGACATTTTGTGACTAAACAAAAGGGCCCTCTAGGGGTTTAAACAGGAAAAGAGCTGCAGGCCTCCCTGGCTCCCATGGTTGACCAGATCTTTCTTTCCCCAGGACTGTTCTCAGGGGAGCTTCCAGAGTGTACCCAGGAGCTGATGATTGACGTCACCAAGAGCTACTACCAGAAGTTCTTGCCCTTGACACAAGTCTAATGTGTCTGTCTCATGTCTTGAATTCACTTGAGCTCTAAGATGAACTTGGGGACAAAGTGAGCCAGTCAGCATCTACAAAGAGGTCTTGTGTCTTTGACACCTTCTACCCATCCTTTTTTGTTGTTGGGTTTTTTTTTTTAATTCTTCTGAATTTCTTAATCATCCTCTGCTCTGAGCTCTTAAGACTTTAATAATAGAACATCTAGAGGAGTTGTCTCCAAATGCTCTGCTTAAACTGTATCTGTTATCAGTCACTCCATGCCATTATCTATGGGGTACAGATCATCTGTTCTCAGCACTCCCACCCTTGGTCCTTTGAATGGCTGGGTGCTTCCCAAGACAGGCTGCAGAGCGGAGCACCCTGTCCAGCATGGCAGTCACAAAGCTGACGTGCTGCTCACCGCCATAAGCTCCCCACCATGAGTGCTACTCACATGGGTCTCTCTCAGCTTTCCTGCCACTAACACATTTGACCAGTTGCCACAATTGCTCATAATCGTGAAGGAAAAGTGTATGTGGCTTTTCGGAGTCCAGATTCCTGTTGGCTACTGAAACATGAAAGGAGGGGTGGTTAGTATTTCTCTTCTTTCCCCAATGACCTTAACTGTCATTTTAACCAAGGGTGACTAAGAAAAGACTTTCTAGCATTGTGTTGTAGGGCCTGTGGCTTTTATTAGAAGGAGGACCCTCAGCACCCAGGTTTTTTTTGCGAAGTCACAGGTTTGAAGTCTACCATGTGGATAGACTAGTCTGGCAGCCACCCTGTGCCTCAGGGTACTTGGGGGTAGCAGTATATGCCTTATTTCATTGAAGACATAGCATTTGTGACACTTGTTCCCTGGCCTAGAACCATTTGACCCACCCTGTATTTGCTGTAAACCTCACAGTTCAGATCAAAATATCTGTACTTGGGCCCAATCACATGTATACACAGGGGCCTTTCAAAGTAACTCTGTGGCACAGAGTCCCAAGGAGTAGTCAGTGAAGTCGCCAGTGCTATTCTTACTGTCTTCTGGGTAACAGTACAACCTTCCCTGGTTCTGCTCTGACCTCTTGGTTTAGAAGGACTTAGAAGTGAGGGCCTGAGAACGCTGGCCTTGCTTAATGCTCTGCCGCTTCTGTGAGTTGGGCCGAATGGCTCAGCCTCGGAGGTTAGGCTCTAGCAGGCGCTATAGTGATTCAATGTCGGGTTCTGGGGTTGACAGCTGTATGTAATTATCTCTACTCAGTCAATGTAAAACTGCTTTCTGGTTTGTCATTTTTTTTATGTTTGTATATTAAAAGATTGACAACCAAACAAGTCATTTGAAGGTGATCATTCTTGCCCTCCAGTGACATGTACCTCTGTTATTTGGGTACTTTGCTGCGTGCCTAGTGCCTTGCTGCTCATGGCTCACACCGACCCTGTAAGGCGGATGTTATTCTCATTTTACAGATAGGAATATTAGGTAACTTGGTCCAGTGCATACAGTGAAGGAGTGGCTGGCCCAGAAGTCACAACATGTCTGTCTGGCTCTGGAGCTCATGCCCTTCATAGGGGACAAGCCTGCCCTTGGAGCACACCTGCTGTGCCTCCTGTCTGGTGCCAGCAGTCTGTGATGGTTGCGCGTTCTTTCATCATACCCTGGCCTCTACTCTAGCTCCCTTCTCCCTTTGTGCCACCAAAAAGGTGAATCTTAGAGTTGGCGGAATATAACCTCTTGCTCACTAGAGAAATCTTCCAGGGCATGTCCAATGGAATTACCATCCCGTTTGTGTTTGAATACCTTACGACTTTATGAGACTGTTTTCTTTTGTAATTTTTCACAGCTTTATTGAGATATAGTTGCCATAATTTTTTGACTGTCCATTTTGTTGGGGAACAACGCAAACTAAGAGAAAGGGGAGGGGCGTTGATTCTCTTAAAACGATTTAAAATCTTTAAGTAACTGAAGTACATGATTTCAGAAGTCCAGTCCAGTTAGGAAAGAAGGGACATGTTATGAAGTAGGTCTTCCCAGTGCAGAATCCCAGAGGCCACCACTCAGAGCAGGTCCGGTCTCCTGGCAGAGGTGGTTCTGCATCGGCACAACACACAAGCAGGTGTGTATGTACGCTCACACCAGCCTCTCCATAGTCACACAGATGCCATCACACACGAGCAGTGTTGCTCTGCACCTCTGTGCTTTACTTAACAATCTACCTTCGAGATTGTGCAGGTGATTAAAATAGCAACTGCTAACACAGAGTGTTTACCACACACCAGGTACTCTCCTGAGTTCTTTACGTTTATTAATTCCTCTATCCCCACAACACTATGAGCTCAGTGTACTTATTCTGCCCAAGGAACAGGTTAAGTGAAGTGGCCAAATTTATACAGCTCATGTGACAGTGAACCTAGGCACTGTGTTTCTAGAGCCCATACTTTTAGTTACTGTGCTGGAATCCCTCCCTGTTAGGCCTTTCATTGCCCCAGAGTGTGTCATCTGGCTGTGCAGAAAGCTGAGAAAGCAAGTATTTTGGTTTTTCAGGCAGGCAAGGAGAAGGGGGATCGGGAATGGGTTCTGAGTGAACCATCTAACTATGTCTGCCACAGGCAGGAAGCCTAGTGTCTCCTCTGAGTAGTTCCCTTGCATTGTGCCCTGCTGTCTTGTAGCTACACCTGTGGCCTGCGTAGTTAAATGCGAGCAGGTGTCTTTAGAGAATTGTCTTGCTTGCAGTCATTAATAGTGTCTGAAAATTCTGTACCATACAGTTGGCACTCTAGAGAGGAATGTACAAAGTAGTTGAAACAAAAGTCCAATCAGAACTGCTTTGTTACAAGTGACAGAAGCTAGCTTGAACTGGTTTAAGAAAAAAAAAAAGGGGGGGGGCGTTATTGGCTTACACTAACAAATTATGGGAAAAACTAGCTTGGGAGGCAATGGGATATAAACCTTGGCAAGTTACTCAGTCTCTGTATCCTGAGCTATACAGTGGGAATTACAGTGGCACCCCACAGGGTTGGTGCAGATGAAATGAGGTCTATATGTAAACATTAAGGATAGTTCCTGGCACTTAGAAAGCACTTGGAAGTAATAACGCCATCATTGAAGGGACAATGATATTCAGAGATTTAAACCCCATCAGAACTGTTTTATATCATTTTCATCTTCACATTAATAAAGGTACAAACTGGGCTGCTGTAACAAAGAGATCATCAAAATACAGTGGCCCAGACAAGATAGAGTGTCATTTCTCTCTCACCTAACAGTACAGGGAAAGACAGGTGATCCAGGGTAGGTAGGTGACTGGGCTCTACCATGTCACCAGGCCCCCAAATTCCTACTGTCTTGTCACATGGCAACATTTAGCTATAAGGGAGTCTGTAAATTTAGTCTCCAGCTGGGCAGCAAAAACTGAGGACACTGGGAGACAGAAAGCAAGCTCCCCCAGGCTTTGTGTTGGCTTCATTCTCTCCTGTAAGTGGGCTTTCTCCATGCATTGGGGCAAGGGGCAGCTGACAGCTCCAGACTGACACCCTCCCAGCTTGGTGACCCTGAAAGAAAGGTTTCTTCCCTCCAGTTGTAATTTGGAAAGTCTCAAAGAACAGTTCTCAGTGGTTTATTGTGAGTCCCATGCACTCTTTGATCACTCACTGTGACCAGGGGTGTGCAGCATTATGGTAAATCTGATCTGGGTCATGACCTTTCCTTCCTCCGTCCAGGGTGGAGAAACAGCATAGCCCATTAACAAAACAAGGTGCTGAGAAGACCAAAACAACAGCTACTACAAAATGAGTCCTATGAACTGATACTATTTGAAAGTGTGTTGATGATTGTGTGTCCTAGGAAAGGCCAGCTGGACTCTTGTCTTCATGGAGGCTCTCCCCCGGGGACAAGCTGTCATCAGAGAATTACCTTCACTACCCCAGACAAGAAAGTCTCTTTGTCCTCTGAATACTTCCAGTAGAGTGGGCAGATGGGAGAGCCCTTGGTTGGGACTCCTTCTTGTTGGCTTAGGGCAGAGGTAGGATTTACTGGCTCATGTAGCTGATAAGGTCAGGGCTAGATTGGGTGTCAGGCTGGATCCTAGGACTCACAACAGCATCACCAGGGACCTGCCTGTCTTCAACTCTCTACACTCCTTTCCTTTAAGTTGACTTCCTTCTCAGGCTTCATGAGTGACCCCCGCATAGCTTGTTATTGGTAGAAAGAGTTCCCTTTCCCAGACAAAACCCCTGGACCTGCTTGTCATTGGTCCAAACCAGAGAGGTATCCAGCCTCAAGGAATCGTTGTGGCCAGGAAGATGGAATATACTGATTGCCTAGGCCTGGGGCACATACCCACATGGACTTAGAGTTGGTGCCTGGTAGTAGTATTGGGGGGAGGTGATATTATCAAAAGAAGGGATATGGGTACCAAGCAGGAAAAACCATCAGGTGTCCAGTTCAGGCCTCTTCTTTTTCTCTGGATGTCTCCACTTTCTCTGTCTCCTTGCCTATCCTTACCCCCTGCCCAATCTCATTACTCTTGGTCTTGGAGGGTACCTCCTGAGCAGTGCATGGGCCTGGATTAGGGGGCACAGAGAGGATGTAGCTTGTCCAAAGTGGAATGTTCAATGAAGAACCATTTGGAGGATGCTCCTCTGCCTGGAACTGCTTCTTTATGGACCCTATAGCACCTATGGAGGGATGCTTGTCAAGGTCTAGGTAGAATTCTGGTTATGTACCTGTTATTATTTGAATCCACACTAGCTCAGCACTCCTAAGGTGGCAGGCATGAGCCTGTGGGTATCCAGCACATACTTACTGGGGTGATTACTTGGATGTGAAGCCCCCCCCTCTCACTAGCCTCCACCCCAGACCAGATAAGTCACATTGTGGGACCCCTGGTGCAGGGAACAAGGTTGACTGGTCAACTTGTGAGCTGCCTGTTGACAGATTCTGTTTCACATGGCTGCACAGGGCCCTTGTGGTTGGTTGGGATTTGTGTTCTTCTGAATTAGTCACTTCTGCATAAGCCAGTTCACTCAGAGCCTGAGGCCACAGTTCCTTTCTTAGTGAACTCTGACCCATCTGGGTGATAGCAGACCTGAAATAAATCAGACAAACATTTCTCCTATTTAACACATCTGTGGAAGTTTCTTAGCATAAAGGAGGGGTCTTGTTGGCTAGGGAGGCCTTCTTCGGTGAGAGCCCACAGGGTATCCAGAACATGGAACCCAGCCATGTTCTGACTCCCTCAGTCAATCTCCAGGACAGATTGGCATCTGACAGGCCTGGATGGGTGGTCAGACCTACTGGCTGGTCTGGGATAGCTTCTGTGGAGCTGCAAGTCCCCTGAAATGGCACTGGCAGTGTTGGGACGATGTGTCCAGAGGCCTGGTTATTTCAAAACAGGTGTCAGCAAAATGTGCTGCCAGCTTGTCCCAGTTCCCGTAAGTCCCTGATCACTGAAGCATTTCTCGAGCCCCCAGGAGGGGTGGTACTTTCGTAGGACATGCACTTGCTGCCCTTTAGGGCAAGAAAGATGGACCCAGCCTTATGCTGCATCCCTCATTTATTCAGTTAACAAAAAGTGAGTCACTGCTGAGTTCCAGGCCCTGCTCATAGGGTCTTACAGCTCAGTGGGAGAAAGACAAGGAACAAAGAAGAGGTCTCGATGCATGCCTGAGGGTCCCTTCTTGAGGGCCCCACAGTGGTGATGGACATGGGTGTTGGGGGCGGCAGGTCATATCCTAGCCCTGCACTTTGGGGCAAGTTGTCTGCCATGTGAAACCGCAGATTTCAGATTTCTCGTTCCTAAAGTGGGGAAGATGTATCACGGTTGTGATGAGGATTTAAATATGTGTAAAGCATGATACCGGCTTAGGGTAAGCACTCGATAAATGGTAGCTTTAACTACTCTTATTGGGAAGTGATACACCTTGGGTGAAACCTCTTGTAGTATAAGTTACAGCTCTCATGTTTTTTAAAGTTTAAAACTAAGAACACCTTTCCTTTATAGTCAGTCTACCACAATGATGGGATCGGGGAAAGGAATCACCCTTCCTTGCATTGCACCTATGGGATGCCAAGCATGTATTTGAAAACATTTAATCCTCCCAACTGTTAAAAAAGTAGGAATTTTTACACCCCATTATACAGAGGAGAAAACTGATCCTCAGAAAAGTTAAGTAAATTTTCCTAGGGTCACACAGCTAATAAATGGCTGAGCTGGAATCCAAGCCAAGTCTTACCTACTGTAAAATCCACGTTTTATGCAATTCCGGCAATGTCCTAGGCCTCCCTCTGAAGCCCTCCGCCCTGCGGACTACGCTTGCTGTCCAGTTGGTTAACC